AAATCTAAGATCGACTCAACCGCAGCGATCCAGGCGAGAAACCCGCTGGCGTCGAGCCCGCCCGAGAACTCCGGCACCTCCACCCGGAAACCCGCCTCCTAGCGGCTGTCACCACCTGCCCGGCGGTGGCCGTTGAGATCGGCGTCCTCCTCAGGCCCGTAGAGATCGGACCGCTCGCCAACAGAAGCATCCCGCCGCCTCCTCGGACCGCCGAAAGGGTTGACGTCCGAGGCGGTACGACCGCTGTCCGTACTCCGGCCGCGCGACGAGCGTGGGGACGGCGAACGGGGAAACCCGAACGGCCCCCTCCCACCACGGCCGCCGCGTGTTCCGCCGCGATTGCCCCGGCCGCGGGCATCGCGTCTCGTGTCCTCGTCCGCCATCAAGTGGCGCATGGCATGTCGGATTTCCTCGATCCCCTCTGCAAGACCTTCGACACGGCGATCCACCCGGTCGATTTGGAACCCTAGATCGTCGGTTCGACGATCTAAATCTTCGAGATGGGCATCCCGTCTATCGTTGTCTCGTTTTGGCTGCATCTTGAATCGTCCCGACAGCTGATACCAACTGATGCAGCAACGTGGTAGACGAAAGGAATATAAGAGAAAACTCAAGAGTTCTTAATTTCATTCAATGTTCATCGATCAAACTTCATAAAAGAGGGACAATATATAGAGTCCTATGAAAGAGAATCCTAATCCTAATTATCTTGTGCAACAAGATAATTATCTTATTTATTCCTAAATAATAAAACACTCTTAAGGAAATAAAATATCTCTTACTAAATAATAATAGGAAATATAATACGTAGAATAATCTAGATGCGTAGACGGTCGAATTTGTCGAGAAAGGCTAGGGCGGTCTCGTCTTCATCAACCCCCATTGGATTTGTTTTACAAAGAAGGTCGTAATATCAAAGTTTTAGCTCTATCGAAGTTCATTTGATCACTCAGTTTTCCATCGAAAATATTTTGGGCCCAAAATTCGCTATTCTATGTCTGGAGAGCATTCTGATGTCGTCTGACATCCATTTCACTCGAGCGACTCACTATTGCATTGTTCGATTGAGTCGTAACCATAAAATTTCAACCCAGTCAAACTTCTAACAAACATAGTATAATTGGTTTGTTCTTTTCCCCGGTCTACTTCTTACGTTGTCTGATATTGATCGGCTTCAGTCAATTGACCCAATATGGATTCGTCATGCCGAAACGGTCATACTCAAAAAAATTTAAGTTATTCGGAGTTCATTTTTCCACTCAATTATTGTCCAAAAGTTCTTATGTGCACAAACTGTATTTTTTACATGTGTCCAACTAGTAATCATCCTGTATCCAACCCATGATAATGTACCTTTTATTCTGTTCGTCATGATTAGAATATTTTTTTATACTTTTGGTAAGTTTAGTGTTGGGTTTGGCCAAGAACTTCAGTTTCTATGTAAGTTCGAAATCTATGAAATTTTATCATTCTAAGAAGATTCGTCGGTCAACTGCATCGGGATTTATCCTCGCTACGTTGAGACTTCTATTATATTCCCGACACTGGTTCCAAACATCTTGGTGAATGACAATTTTTTGGAACCTCCCTTTCTAGAACTTGCGTCGATTGGTTATATAAAAGAAACAAAAAGACTTTGTGTTCTGTTCCTAACAGAACTAGAAAACATTGTCTTTCTCTCCCTTTACTAAACCTCTCGATTATTTCTATTCATGTGCATGATTCTTCCTATGAGATGTAGCCCTACCCAATTCATGAAGAAAAAGGCGTATTGATAGGTTACAGTAAGGACCTTAAGGAGGCTTTAAAGTATGATTAAGCATTAGCTGTGTTGGGTTGTAGGCATCCAGTCCGTCAATAATAATCTATTCTACTAAAGGATTATTATAGAACTTCCTATTTTACCTCAAATTATGTTGGGCTCCAAATTTATGTACTCAATTTATCTACCCATGGTTAACATACTAGTGTATTAAAAATCGGCCTAGGCGGCACTAGGCGCCGACCGGCCGGCCGTTCTAATTATATTATTTTGTTATCATGTTTTCTTTCTAGTATATTAATATTATTATTCGGACTTGTGTGTATGGATTTATTATAAGTTAATATAGTTTTATTTTATAGGTAGTGCAAATAAATAAAAATAAGGTATTTAATCTTAATTTATAGGCCCTGCCTAGGTGTTGGTCGGACGCGTAGGGGGTGCCTAACGATTTCTATAACACTGTAATATAACAATTCCCGTTAATATTTAATTAATTAACTTTTAAATTCCGAAACTAGTACCACTCAATATTATTATTATGTTGGATCAAAATTCACCTGTATGATTTAGCGTAATAATACTCTTAAGCTCATTATGACACTATCAACATGACGCATTAAGGCCACTACACGACCTAGGCGCCCACATTTTCGTCTAGGTGGCTCTTCTAGGCGTTTGGCAATTAGGCGCCGTCTAAACAGTGTAGGCAACGTCTAGGTGGTTGTGAAATTAGTGACACCTAAAGTGATAAGGAGGCCAGGTAGCGACCTATGCGGTCTAGGCGCCGCCTTTATATTTTTTGTATTTTTAATTTTATTATTCAAAATATAAGAAAGTTAAATTTTGATTTTTATACATGAAATGTACAATAATTATAAAATAAAAATTATAACAAGAACATAAAATTAATATAATAATTATAAGTGTTTAATATCTTTTTAAAAAAATTGTACTTACCTTTATAATTGGAATATTTTATGAAAGATAGCTTGTAAAATTATGTAAAATTTTAAACATACATACATTTATTAATAATTTTGTAACTCACCTATGCCCTACTAATCCTTGTCTAGTCGTTCTAGACGCTAGGCCCTAACCCGCCGTCTATCGACTGTCTAGCGTCTTTTAGAACCTTGATTAGGACACATTGTTTGTTCTAAATCAACAACAAACCATATAAAACACCACTACTGTTGATGCGCGAAATTTGATCAATATCACGGTATTTTGATATCTTGAATTGTTTAAATAAAAGATTGAAAAATTCGTGTATATTTTCCTGTATCTGTTGTTCCTCCATGGGAAGAAAAAAAAACGATAAAGGCACTGCCTCTTTTTTAGGATAAGGGAAGAAGCCAAAAATCAAAGCCCTTCAGATCATTCTCTTTTCCTTCCGTTTGGTGTCCATCATAGGGGTTTTATATATTCCCTTTAGGTGGGCCCAATATTATCACAAGTGGATATATTTTTTTCTTTTTAGGCCTTAATACTAAAAATAAGACAATTAATTTACTACATATCCAAACATTCATTAATTCATACATACATTCATTACATACGTGCGTCATACATACATCCTGACTTCATACATGGATGCGAACCGACTTCGCATCCAAGACAAACAACCGACTTCTCAAATATTCCTTCTCAAAGGTTCTCCCCGCAAACCGAGGTCCGAGATGGCCAAAACCCAAAGCAGGTGACAAAGCGCCCGCATAGTTGGACCATGTGCTACATTGCAATCATTGTTGTTCACCCACAAACCTCTTCATAAAGCTACTTTGCATTAAATGCGATCACACCTACCTCGTATCGGAAGTCAAATACACACGACTATAAATAGCGGAATTTATTATTGTACGGGTATCTTTGGACACACATTCAATACGTACATGCAAAATAACTCGGTTCACACATAAACCAACTTCTTGTACTTCGCAATTCCACATCAATAATACAAACCTTTACTTTTCACGTCTTAATTACGTGTGGTTATCGTTGTTTATCGTTGTTAAATTTCATACAACAACAACTATCTTCCAACTAACCGAGTCTATCGATTTAATGGATAAATATAATCCTTTGGTAAGTTAAATAAGCTCGTATGCAATACTCATGTCTGTTATTGTATTACGGATTTAGAGTACAAGAAATAACTAAGGTTTAGTTCATTTATATTGTCATTGTAAAATGAACGGATTTAAATTATGAGTAATAATTGGGGTCTAGTTAAGTTACATAGTCAGCATAAAATGTGCGGAGGATAGTATAAAACGTATGTATCATCCGCGTTCCTATTCAATACACAATAAGTCTACTAATGTAATTCATTAGCCAAGATCAACTAATTTAAAAGTTACACTATAACCGTTTACGATAGTTAGTTTATTCTATCCAAGTTGTGAACAACATTTTTATTTTACATGGCATCAATAATAAGATGTTATGTTCAATACAATGAACCATATTCTCTACAATATAAAACTTAAACCAATTGTATTGCTATTTATCATAATAAAATGCAAAGACATTTGACTAACCATAATTCTCATTCAAAATGAAAATAAGTTCACAACAAAGTCAAATTTTCAGTATACTAACTAACAAAAAATAGTATATTGAATTGATTGCACCAATTTTCTGTATTAGGACCACACTTGGAGTACTAAAATGAAATTTTGATGTATGTGCATTTTGATCTTACTTTTCGAGTCAATAATCACATAGTTGCTCATTTTGATCTTACTTTTCGAGTCAATAATCACATAGTTGCTCATTTTGATCTTACTTTTCGAGTCAATAATCACATAGTTGATCAACAAGCCACTCGCTAGTTTATCATTTACATGTGTGTTTGCTAAATGCTACACTCAATAATTTTACACATCTCTCTGTTAGTTGTGAATAGAAGCAAGACACAAGGCAAGGCCTAAATTCAAATGTGGCCCTCTCTACTTTGTCCTTGTTCCACACAAATAATCACTTTCCACGCAAACAATGCATAAAGCAGCCACCCTAACCTCCTGCACTCGTGACTCGCCGCCAAAAAGTTTAAAACTAAATAAATAAGAA